TTCCGCTTTGGCACTGCCGGAGTTTCAGTCTATCTCCAAAGAGTTAACTCACTTATTCACAACGAGCAGGACTTGTGGGCGTATTCAGTGGTGCATGTATCCCGAGACAATGAGGGTTCTCTTCGAACTGTTCACTAGCCTGATCAGCAAGTAAAGTAAATAATCTCTGCCCGGATTGCCTTTGAGTGAACACGTGCATTGAATCCGAGAACGCCAACGTCCAATGATGCGCGGAATGTGTCTCACATCAAGCATAATTAGTTTGGTCGTCTCTATTGTAAGGTTTTGAAGGTAATGCACAACTAGTTCAATTGATCTGTTAGGAATCCACAGAATGCGTCTGTACTATATATGCATTGGTTCTCGAGCCGGGAAACGAGGGGTTTTTAACCCGAAGTGCACATCGCCCGGGGTTATCAGGATTCGCTATTAGCACTTTACGGATAGGAACTGTTTACGATCTGATCTTTGGTTGCTGTGGTCGCGATGACCGTAGCTATTTTAATCATCATGTTCACTGGCTCGCCATAATGAGGTGATGCGTCCGTCAGTTGAAAATTCTATCAAGATTGCAAACTAACCGTCACTATCCATACAGGGAATTCCAATAAAGCGCATTTCAAGGGGCAACTTTCCAGAGCGTACCTGGATAGGGGGGAGGGGCGTCTAATGGCTTTGAAGCATCTTTTGCGTGCTCACTTGGTCCTCATACGGCCTTTTGGATGCATTTTCATACATATACTCCGATAATTTAGTGGATCTTCTAAATGACTTCATTCGCCTGAGTCATACATCGAATTTAACGATTCGCTACTCGAATTAGCGTGTTATTTTGTTCTGTGTTGTACGCCACAGTAACCTACAAAGTGGAACTATACAGTGGAGTGAGTGAAGTGATGAAACGGTTTCTAATCCGACTACTAGTCAATCCCATCTCAAATCACAGCGTATTAGGAATTTGCCACATTTTCCCCATTTGTGAGGAATGGATATCATTCGACTTAACATTTCATTGTTATAATTCTAGGAGGTGGTGTTCGGTTGAGGAAAGTCGTTTGTTGCAGGTGACACTTAGGACATATATCTCGTTTGAAACATGTAATCACAATTCCCGGCAGCACAAAAGATAATGAATTGAAAGGTCCGTGGTTATTCTTTGGAGTACAGCAATTCGCTCTAAGTGACGTTGTTTATTTTCAACCATTGAGAGAAACCATCAATCGCATCTTTTTGTGAACTATTCACAAGTGTGAGCAGTATCTCACAGCACCATGAATTATTCAAGTCTGTTTTTCTGATTATGCGTAGATTTTCATGGCAAACGTTTGTTTGCTTTTGAGGACCACCATTTCATCTAGTCAACTTTCTCTGTTTCTCAACTGGTTTATAACAAAGAGGTTAAGCCTCCTACTCATGATAATTCCAGTCGAGTCAAGGATGAGGTTATCCCCTCCAAAGGTTTATCAGAAGATTACGCAGTCAATTTTGCAATAGACATACGGATACGGTGTTGTGACGATACGTCTGAACTAGCACGAACCGTGAACCAACGATAAGTGCAGCAATAACGACCACAAACAGAACCGTACTAGCCATCGAAATAGTGGACAGTGCACGAGCGCGCTCGACTGCGGTGCCCGAGGCAAGCCCCAGTAGAACCGGAAGGAAACGAGCCACGAAATCAGTACGATCCTCAAGCCCGACCATAAAGAACACGGAAGACAGACCTTCAAATGAGGTTGTGTATTTGACTGGAACGAAAAGGCGACGGCTGTGGATAACTCGTTTGTTTATACACAGTTTGGGGACCCCATACAGGGTACGCCATTCAAACAAGGAACCCATGGCTGCAACGCGATCAAAAGATTCTGGAACGTCCACAAAGAATGGCTATTAAAATGGTCAAAGGACTACATTCCAAGAGTTATGCGGAAAGACTGGAATCACTGCAACTGTACTCCACACAGTATCACCGCATTCGAGGAGATTTGATCTTGGTATACCAAATAATGCGGAACCCAAACCACCCATGTCTTCCACTTCTTTCCAAGTCGCCCAACACTCACCTGCGGGGGCAATCATTCAAATTAGCGCTCCAAAAATGCCGACTAGAATGCCGGCGGCATTCATTCGCCCTCAGAGTGTGCATCACTTGGAATTCTCTATCACCACACGTTGTCTCTGCACCCACAATTGATTCATTCAAGCACAATCGGGATGAAGCTTTGAAAAGTCTTAAATTTCAACATCCGTAGAAGTGCACGAAACAAAGACAAATTGTGACATTGTGACATTCATCTACTTTGTATGTACTGTGAACCGATTCATCTGTGCCAAATCCTATGGGACTAGGAAAGCAACCGCTTGTAAGTATTTCCCATAATAAAACTTTGACTTTGACTTTGACCGGCCCTCACTGACCTTGGAAAATAGCTCGAAAATAGTGAGTCATAGAGAAATGGAACAATCAGGATCAAACATGGCCGGTGATGCGGTATGAGCCTTTCTTGGCACAAAATTCCGCAGATTCAAATTTTATGAAAATAATTAGAAAAATGAAGAGAAATAAAAGGAAATAATCACTTTTATAGGGATGGATGAATTTTCACCATTTTGCATCACACATTTGGATATAAAATTTGCAGAATCGAGCAGAATAATATTAAAATGATTCAAAAATCAGTTTTTTTCAGTTACATAATTCTACGTAAGCTGTATTCGATCAACAAGCAGATGTGCCTAAATGGAATTACGATATACAACGGTAACAGCAAAAACAGTTTGAATATTCAGATTGTGGATGATACAGATATACCTCTAGAAAGTTCATTGTCTAATGGGTGATAAGTGTCTGAGAGCATTTTGGAAATATGAATTTCACATGCTTCTAGGTGTCAGTCCATGCCAGATCCGGTAAGTGTTTTTTCCAATGATGCCACTGCATCTAGTTATATGTTCTTGTGATCCTGACAGTAGGAGAAATACCTTTCTCTGCTTCAACAGATGAGGGAAAGTAACCGGAAAGCAATACAACCGGTTAGAAAATTTGCAATCAAAACTGTATAGAACAAAATCTTATTTCTAGTCCGAGTGAGAAGTATGCGAGATTTCTGATTTAACAGAATCGCCACGGAACGTGAGAAACTGTGTGTGATACTGTGACGCCAAGAAATTTGACCCTGCTCATGTAAGTTCATGCTAAGTAGAAGAGATGAGAAATCGATTTGTGATGACTTTTATTCATTTTTGTTGCTAAAATGTCCTTGATAGCAATTGCATGCTTGATCTTTTCTCTCTTCACCTTTAAATGTGTTATGTCACCAATTCCTGTCTGTCTACTCAAGCCGTATTCGAACGATCGACGTCCACATTTAAAAAACGGTGCTAACACGCAACCCCTCTCTCACTCAACCCGAACTCGGTTTCGATCATTACCTTCGGCGGTAGTAGTTCGTTCATTGAAAGAAATGAAGGGGATTAAATAATATATACAGAATAAGCTCATTGATCATCCGGGCTTCTGTCAGTAACGTTCTAATACGTCTGGCGTTGTTCAGCTTCTGTCTGGGCCGCACGGTTTCTGATTGGCTGGTACAATCGACCTATGGTATGTAGTTCAGAAGCTGTGACATGCACATGCTTTTCTGACGTCATCCGGGAGGTTTGATTGATCACAGTTGTCCTAAAACTGTAGCGCGTCGCTCTGTGGCATGCGTCAGCTCGTAGGCCAGGAACACCAGTTTCCCCAGGTGCAGCTACGCTCGTTAACTGATCGGTGGGATCTTGGTGCAATTACTGAAACTCGGTTTACTGACGATACTCTTGACTCTGAATCGTACTTACCAGGAATGTTTCTGCCTGAGATATGATCTTCCTACATGAGGTGGCGATGTACCGCTATATTTTCGCAGCAATCTTCAATCTAAAACACTTTATCTCCTCAATACAGCCGTCAACACACTTTGGCGCTCATTCAGACTAACCAAAGATCGTAACTGTTTGATCGATGTAGTCTATTGAACTATTGCATCCTCAGACTGAGCTAACGATGAACTACTTCAGACCAAAAGATTCACCCTCTAAATAGTTTTCACTCAAGTTTCTCATAATGGAAGACCTTAAATGTCCCAATTTTATAAAACACTAGAACTATAACCACCCATTCGGATGAAATTTAACACAGGTGATTTATTCCTATTCTACGTACAATAATGTAAAGAATCCCACCAGATTTGGAACATTCTATT